CTACTTTTTAAGATTATTTTTTTAAAATTTGATGATATAATTAATTATGTTGTATATTTCACACATTTTATGATATGTATTTTTATAATAAACATATTTTTTCATCTATATTTTTCTTAAATATAAATTATTATTTTCAAAAAATATTCTAAAATATATAACTAATATTAAATCTGTTTGCATATGTTTAATTTCAAATTTAATTGTCCATTTTTTATGGTAACAAAATTAAATAATTTCCATAAATACAGATAGTTTTTGTTTTTTATTTTTTATTTATTTAATTTATTTTTTTGCTGTCTTTTAGTGTGTTTGGCTATAGGTTTGAAATTGTATATTTTGTAATATTTTTTTTTCAAGTTTGTTTGGCTACAAAGACAAATAATGATCCCCAATTAATAGTATAGATATCAAATGAAGTCAGTTTCTTTTTTTTGCATGATATAGGGAAAATATTGTTCTAAAATAACATTCATATTTTTTTCATAATATCTTATTTACCGTTGTAACTAAAACAAATACACTCTCTCCTACCAGTGTCCATATTCTCCTTCTTCTTCCTCGTAACTCTTCTATTCATTTCATCCTGTATTATTTTTTCCCTCATTGATAAACTGTTGATGTCGGCGTATGAGGAAGAGAGAGACTGAATCTGCCCTGTAGTTGTATGAAAAAAAAATTGAAGAACTTACGCCTATGTTACCCATATTTTATTACGGAATCCATTCCAAGAAAACTTTCCTTGATGTGTGAGTCTTCTTACTCTTTCTCTGAAGCTGTAGCAATACGCTTTGATATGCACATTCTTTCCACAAAAATAACAACCAGTTCGCTTTGTCAGACTTTGACTCTGGCTTTTATTGATTGTCATTGCGTAGCTTAGCTGGACTGGGAACTGTCGCCGTTTTAATTTGAATGGCCATTTGGAATCAGCTGGAGAAATAATAATACGTGGGATAACCACCTCAATCACTGTATTCCCCATGTGAGTAAAAATTAGTCTGATACCATTGTAGAGCCCCTCTTTTTTATTCATATTTGCCAGTAGCATAACTGGGGATCCTACTTTAATCGTAAGAGAGTGATCTTGTAATCCCAAAATTTTTAGAGAGTTCAAAATATCTACTGCATATAATAGTTGATCTGTCTTAGTCGTGTTGTCATCCATTTCAATACTATCTGAACTTAAGCACTCATTTGAATCTCTAGGTAGTTTTTCGAGCATCATCATATTCATATCATGAACTGGATTATTCTTTGGAGCTAATATGGTTGTTGGTGAGGTATTTTGGCTCCTTGTATGAGCTTTCAAAATATGGGTATACTTCATCAGCAATTTGAATCTTAATCCCTTTAATAACTCCTTACATTTAAAATATATAAATAAAATCTTCTGATGTTTGCCTCACAAATAATCAAATTTCTGAATCACAAATAATTATCAAATAATTATATATATAGTTCTTATTTTGTTAAACATGAACACTATATTTATCACCCATGAAAATATAGGAGTGAAGAGGCAGCCAAACTAATGAAATCACAGAATTTCATACCTTTATCATGGAGATGACCTCTGAACATTTGAACTGAATTAATGGTGGAGGAGGAGAGTAAATCAATATTGACTATATTTTGGGGATTTGTAAATATTCCATGATCGAAAGAAGGATGGGTATATATAGAGTTGTTACTCATAATAAATTAGGGCTTAAAACAAACATGATTTGAAGAGGAAAAAGAGAGATTTCCACAAGTAATGGAACGAAACAAGATGACTGTTAATGGAAGCAGCTGGTTTCGATGAAGAAGGGAGGAAGAAGACGGTGGAAGAGTTTTTTTGTTAGGTTTAGTGACTTGGACCTGTATTTTAGAAAATGAATTTATCCCATAATGGATGTGAAGATAGAAAACGATGGTACTGACTTTTAGTAAGCACATGA